AGCAACAAGATATATTTCATTAAAAATAATTCATTAATATTCAACTTTCCTTTGTACACTGGAGATATTAGAAATACCATGTCAGCCAATTTTTAAAAAGTTTCAAAAACTATGATTTCTAGTGTTTGGTCTTACATTTACTGATCTTAAACTATAGATGATGCTCTGGGATGTGAACAAATCATCCTATGTCCCCTACCTCCACCAACAAGTAACAATGCTTTCACTTCTGGTCTGCATATCGCTGATTTTTGTTTGAAGTTTATGGGCAAAATTTAGCTCCGTAGATATGAATGGAAATGCAGGTCTGACAAATAACATCAACATCAGGACTAAAAGTCCCAGGGCTACAAACTACACAGCTAGCACAGTTACTGTGTAGAACGATATTTTTTCCAAAGCCCGGTCGACAGCTATCCAGACGTGCTATCTGAAAACCGTGGTCTACAAAATGCATAGCTGGTAGAGTTTTATTAAAGTTATGGGAGAATATATGTGCTTGGCGCGGAAAAAATTCTTCTATTCGATCTCTTGCCTGAAGGATATTATAGTTAGTGATATCTTCACAGTCAGTAGATTCATTGCAAGCACCTTTCTACCCTGGAGCAAAAAAAGATTAACTTGGAAGGCTATAAATAGTTCATGTATGAGGGCATGTCTTGGAGTTTCAACAGAATGGCATTTATATGATGGTTCTGTGACATGGCACGACAAATTAGAAATTAGATTATTCAAGATTTTCTTCAGCACTCTAAAGAGCAGGTCATTGTATCTTCTTCTTATACAAGACTTTGTGGTAAGACGTACAGCCATCTGATATGAATAACCAGGTTCCTGATAGGCAAACATCAGGAAGTCATATCTCTTCTTTATTGTCTTTTCTTCTTGAGTTTCTGCTATGGCAAACTTATAGGAAAGAAAACATGTGTAAAGAAACCATCAAGAGAGCAGGGAGACAGCCTACAGACTGGGAAAAAGTATTTGCCAACTCCAGGTCTGACAAAGGCTTAACATCTCGGATCTACAAGGAACTCAAACGTGCTGAAAAGAAAAAAACAAACAACCCCATTATAAAATGGGCTAAAGATATGAACAGACACTTCTCAAAGGAAGACATCCGAGCAGCCAACAGACACATGAAGAAATGTTCAACCTCACTAATCATCAGGGATATGCAAATCAAAACCACACTGAGATACCACCTAACTCCAGTCAGAATGGCAATTATCAATAATTCAGAAAATAACAGTTGCTGGAGAGGGTGTGGTGAAAAGGGAACACTTCTACACTGTTGGTGGGAGTGTAAACTAGTGCAACCTCTGTGGAAAACAGTATGGCGATTCCTAAAAGCTCTAAATATTGACCTCCCATATGACCCCGCAATCCCTCTACTGGGAATATACCCTGAAGAACTCAGATCACTCTATAAAAAAGATAGCTGCACACATATGTTTATCACAGCATTGTTCACAATAGCAAGAACCTGGAATCCACCATGCTGTCCATCAAAAG